ACCAGGGAGACTTTCCCCCAGTCCCAGACTTATGACTTGAGGGCTCTGTCTCTCTCTCTCTCTGGTCAAATTTAAAAAATGATAATAAATAAAAATAAGTAAAATAATTCCTTTAAAATAAATAAAAGAGAGGGAACCAGCAGTTAGCGTAATGGCTATGTCGCTGGACTCCCACGTAGTCGACCGTGGTTCACGTCCCGGACCCGGTGGCTTAAAACTCACGCCGGGCGCGTGTGCATGCGTGCCCAAGATCCCGAGAGGAGAATGGAGGAGAAGGGATTGCGGCGTGACCATCCCCCCTGGGGGGTGATTTCTCGCTTTCTGTCTCTATGTCTCTGTCTGTCTGTCTGTCTGGCGAGCGCATGCGCCCTACAGTGAAAATCTCTCCAAAAAAAAAAAAAAGAAAAAAAATAATAAAATAAAAAATAAATAAAAGAGGCAAAGGGCCAGCCTCAGTGCAGTGGTACAGGCGGTAGCATAATAAACTCCAATACTGGAAGCCACGTGGCCGACTGCAGGTTCAGATCCTGTTGACCCAAAAACACGCCAGGTACTTGAGCCCAAGACCTTGAGGGTCAAGTGGTTCAACATGTGACGAGACTGTTGAGGTGGCTCCCACACGTGTGTGCTTTCTTCTCTTTCATGAATAAACGTTAAACAACTGGAGACAGGAGGAAACCGGACTAGATTTGAGTAGCTGTGTGACCACAGAAGCGAGGGCAGCAGCAGCAAGATGACGCCTCTGGCTGTGAAGGTGGAGGGAGGGCCGCAGCCGAGGTGCGCGGGCCACGTGGCGTGTCTGTGGACTAGTGGACCCTTGGCCTCTGGCAGTTGGAAAAAGAAGGACGTAGATATTCCTGTGGCCTCTGGGAGAAACTGGGCCTGCCAACACCGTGATGTTAGCTGAGACCCACTGTAGCTTCTGCCCTCCAGAACGGTAGAATAAACTCGTGGTTTTTAAAATTAAGTTACTTTTATTTTAATTTAGTTTTTGCTATAGGCACATGCGCTTGTCAGAGATGGGGGGAAGGAGTAAGAAATCATTTCCCAGGGGATATTGCCAGGCCACAATCCCTCTCGTTTCTTTTTGGGATTTTGGGCATGCATGCACACATGCCTGGCCTGATTTCCAAGCTACTGGGTCTGAGACTTAAACTGCAGACTCAGCCATTTGGGTTCTTAACCTTCATGCCGCCTGCTGGCTCTAAACGTGTGTGTGTGTGTGTGTGTTTATTAATCTTTTTAAAATTTGCTATAGGCGGGGCTGGCAGGTGGCGTGGTGGTTAAGGGCGCTGGACTCCCACATGGCTGACCGTGGTTCTAGTCCCGGACCTGGTGGCTTGCTTTCTCACTTTGTCTCTCTCTTTGTCCCTCTCTGGCCAAATTAAAATAAACATTAAATAAAGTAATTTTTTTTTAATTGCTATAGAGTATATTCATTTGCCAGAGAGAGGGAGGAAAAATGAGAAAGCAAGTTGCCAGTTCCAGGACTCGAACCACAGTCAGCCATGTGGGAATCCAGCGCCTTAACCACCATTCCACCTGCTGGCC